CATGTAAGAGCTTTACTGACACAAATGCAGACCTCCTCAAGAATTCAGTCTTAGGTCTTTTTCAAATGGTTCTTCCTAAGTGGGTGTTGGAAGGCTGGCATGGAGTTTGACTTGTTATTTAAGCAGTTGAAAACCAGGCTCTTAGAATATCCAGGTTTATTTGTTCACAGTCTTGGAAAGTGGGGAGTAGGGTGCCAGGGCCGTGGGCTCTCCCAAGGACACAAATGCAGACCTCCTCAAGAATTCAGTCTTAGGTCTTTTTCAAATGGTTCTTCCTAAGTGGGTGTTGGAAGGCTGGCATGGAGTTTGACTTGTTATTTAAGCAGTTGAAAACCAGGCTCTTAGAATATCCAGGTTTATTTGTTCACAGTCTTGGAAAGTGGGGAGTAGGGTGCCAGGGCCGTGGGCTCTCCCAAGTGTTGGGATCCTGCCCACCACACCTGACAAAGCCCTTGGTTCCTGTTTGGTCTTTTGTTTAAGCTGTGACTTTCCTGTTCTCCATGAGGAGCAGTAGCCAATGTGGTCTAAAACATGGTTAACAGTGTTTAAGACCACAGGGAAGGATTAGGGAAGGAAGCTGGGAGGGACTCCAGGCAAGGGTGCAGTTCCTCCTCCAAGCAGTGCATAGAAAGCTCCCACCCCACACACCTACTCAGTGAGAGCAGCTGAGGGGTTATCGAAAGGCTCTGCCCACAGTTTGCTGTCTCTGCCTCCCTGGGTCCTCTTTCCCCTGCCCGTCACCCCTTGAAGAGCAGTTCAGCTGTCACCTAGACAAGGCCTCTTTAGCAGCCCCTCCTTCAGTTTTGTTGTCTTGGCTCTGACTCAGTTCCTTTGCTGTTCTAGCAGTATGCACAGGGGCCTAGGCACAGATGGGGGTCCCTGGGAAGAGCCTGAAGTCTGGGGAAACACTCATGGGAGTCTTTTGGGTATAAGTGATGCTTGTGTGGGTCTTGTTTTAATTTCAGCTGTCTAGAACTTTCCATAGGTAGCCTTTGTAGTTGTGCATACATCTCTTCCCATCTTTTGAGATTTCTGAAAAGACGCTTGAACCAAGTATGGTGGTAGCACAGGTCTAGAATTCCAATATTCAGGAGGCTGAGGCAGAAGGATCCAGAGTTTCAGGCCAGCCTGGGCTACATAGGGAGAAAGGTGGCCTGTGACTGAGCTGTCAGGTCACTGAACCTGTATTCGTGCTTACACAGGGTTTGGGTGAGGTCCCTGGTGACTTGGTGTTCCGTATTATGCATGCTGCAGCTAGACTTGGCTTGAATAGGACGATTCTTGAATAGGACGATTTGAGGTTCTGTTTCTCAGGTGACCTTCTACACATTATGTGAATGTGACTGACTTGAGACTTGTAACTCCACACCAAAACAACAAAAACTCAAATGATCACTTTTGTGGGCAGGGGGCTTTCTCTGTAGGGGTTGGAAGAAACTTTGGGTATTGATAAACTACTCTGGGTCTGGGACTAGAATTCAGTAAGTAGCATGCTTGTCTGATGATAACAAGGCCTTCGGTGTCACCCCCAGCACCACAAAGAAATAAAAAACTCTAAGGAATGTTTCATTTCAGGGGTATCCTGTTTTTCCAGGGGTGCATGAATTTTGTAGAAACTAGCATTTGCTTTAGTTCACTGTTTTCTATTGTGTATGTATGAGGTATGAGGGCAGAGGGCAGTTTTGTGGAGTTGGTTCTCTCCTTCCACCTTTATGTGGGTTCTAGGGATAGAGCTCAGGTCAGCAGGCTTGTGTGACAAACACCTTTACTGCTGAGCCATCTTGCCAGCTCCACTTCACTCCTTTTTGTAAGCATGTGCGATGGTGGAAAGCTCTTGCCTTCATCCATGTGAAATGATTGATAGCTTTCAACTAAGTTTTCTTTGAATTTGTCTAGGATACTCGCTCAAGTAGCAGTTTGCACTGGCTCCAGTCAGTTCTGTGCTCTCCAACCAAGGGCTTTTGGAAGGGGGGAGGCTGCCTGCCCCAGGCACATCTTCCCTGAAGGTCACACAGATGTCCTGTGTAGATGGTGCTGGTTGAGCGCAGGGAGGGTGGTGTGTGGACTATCAATCTGGGCCTGTGCGGTCCTAACATGGCTGCCCCTCTCTCTGCAGGGTTGGTGTCCTGGAATACTGCTTCACCTGCCTGGGCGTCTTCTTGGCCATCGTCCTGTTTCCTTTTGGGTTCCTCTGCTGCTTTGCTTTGAGGAAGCGAAGATGCCCCAACTGTGGAGCAGTCTTTACTTAAAGGGAACAATACACCCAACTTTCCTACATCCAGCTATCTTTTCTAATGTAAATGTTGTGTACAATAGTTTTATTTGATTAAGCTTCAGGACTGTTTTGTAACACATGTGCAGTGGGAGCAGAGGTGGAAGGCAGCGACCCTGCTCCCTGAGGCTAAGGGCAACTCAAAGCACTGCTTCTATTTTTTGCAGTCTTCAGTTTGAGAATGGTGAGAAATACTGTTTTAAATAAATGAGATTCATACCATTTTGTAGCTGGTTCTGCCTGCCTAATATTTGCACATTGCCCCTCTGTGACGTCATGGGAAATGTCATGCATGCAAAGGCCAGTTATGGCCATCTTCTGGTCCTTAGGCATCACTGATGGCAAGAACACATCTTTCAAACTCTCCTTTATTATTGACATTAACCTTGGCATTTGCAGAGCACACCCTCAGTCCCTCAGTCCTGACCAACTGGGACATAGTCAAGGCAAGTGACCCTGTGAGGGGAACCCATCGCTTGGAGAGCATGCAGTACCACTCTGCAGGCCTGTTCTGTACTCAGGGGATGTCCTTATCCCCACTCTCCTTCACAGTTCTGAAGTCTGTACCTCACTCATTCTCCGTTGCTGAAAACGGCTTCCCAGCTTAACGCTGCGCTTACATTTTGGTCATAGTAGGGGAAAATAGTGGAATATATTTGATATTTGACAACTACTTTCCCTGTCAGCCTGGAATACCTCCCAATACAATGTGGCTGCATGTGGCATGACCCAGACCTTATGGTTTAGTGAGGGTGTCAGCACAGGCCAGTAGCCCTTCATGGAGGTATCAGGTTTGCTCCCTACCCCCACCCCCAGGGACTGCCTGGCCCAGCTGGAAAGACTGAAGTCTCATGTAAGGTGGACCAGTCTCTGGTGAGATCAAGAAGCTGTGATAACTGGGGTGGGGGTGGGGATGGGGTTGTGGTGGTGGTGGTAGGGATTTTAGTCATCATTTGCCATTCCAAAATAGGTCTAAATCTTGGACAGGTAGGGACAGACTTCAATCCTGGCTTAGAGCTATGTATAAAGGCCGGAGCAGAAGTTGGTGCTGGGCTAGAATAGAGGCCTTGTCCCTCCTGAACACTGGTCATTTGGCTCCAGAATTGCCATTTATAGGCCAGTACCTGATTCAAATACAGAGAACCTTGGACCTCAGAAGGTTTCCCAGTAAGGAATGGACAGAGCTTTGGCCCCCTAGCTTAGGAAGAGTTGCAAACAGCACTCAGATGTGCCAGGCCACTTTGTGGACAACTAGGATGGGCCAGGGTCACTCCCGCTGGTAGCTTGTAACACCGAGCTTAGTAGCTCCTGGAGATAATTTTGCAAGTGTCAAATATGGCTGTGAATGAGGGCCAGCAAACTCTGCACTCTGCAGCATGTCAGTCAGGAGCAGTTGGGATCTCTCCATCTTTGAGAGCTCTACATTTGTTTAATCAAAAATTTAAAATTGTCAGTTAAAAAATTATATGTAGCCGGGCTTGGTGGCGCACGCCTTTAATCCCAGCACTCGGGAGGCAGAAGCAGGCAGATGTCTGTGAGTTTAAGGCCAGCCTGGTCTACATAATGAGTTCCAGGACAGCTGGGGCTATGGGGAGACCCTGTCTCAAAAAGACCAAAAAAAAAAAAATTATGTTTAATATAGTTTCATAATTTATGTTGCTTAGTGGATTTGTATGCTAAGATGCAAACTTGCATAGTATTTTCTTTAGACGAACATCATAATGCTACTTAAAGAGCACAGGCCTTTATAGAGTAAAGCTCTGGTCTTATTCGCATTCAGCTACAGGAAGACAGGCATGAAGTCATAGACTATCCCTTATTCTGGTTATTTCCTTAAAAAAAAAATCAAAGAGTAAGAATTGGAACCAAATTTACTGTTTTTTTTTTTTTTCTTTTGGAATAGAAAAAGAAGAAAATATTTTAAATGAGCTATCCACTATGTTGTTATTCATTTATCTTAAAGACAGAAATGTGTATACCCAGCTATGTTAAACTGAGAGAATGCATTGATTTGCTCGAATAGGATTCACTGAAATCAGGCACCCTTGGAAGCTTTGACAGTCCCAGCATGTCCAGCAGCGTATATTGTATACCTATCATCTTGCAGGTGAGAACTCAGCGTTAGCAAAATCCACAGTATCCTTGGCATCTTCATCGAATGATTGGTGCTGATCGATCATTTGTGACTGTTGGCCGAAGTTTCACAGTAGCAAAGGGGTTTTCTCCACTGTAGTGGAGGAAAAGGGGAAGAAAAACAAAACAAAACAAAAAAATATATATATAAACACTGCTCCAGGATAAGAATTTGATTTTTATGTGCATATTTATGCACATTGCGTGTATATGCCAGAGGTTGTCAAGTGCCTTCCTCTATCACTATTTTATTTTTTAAGGCGTAGAGTGTGCCGTTTCTGCTAGACTTGGTCACTGAGCCCACAGTATCTATTTGTGACCCTCCACACTGCATAGCGCTCAGGGTACAGATGCACACTGATGCCCTGTTTTTATGTGGGTATCAGGGATCTGAACTCAGGTCCTCATGCTTGTGCAGCAAGGACTTCACCACTGAGCCATCTCCCCAGCCCAGGAATTTGATCTTCTGTTAACCATAGTTCTTGCTTTCACTCAAACCTTCCCACTCTGTACCTATCCTGGACTGCCTTTTCTCAACACAAGTGCCTGGCAGTTCTCCCTAGGGAGCAAGCCATGTGAGAGGCTGGTCCTCTTTAGTCTGATGGAAGGGGTGGTATGGGAGTGCCACCCTGCCATGGGCTACATCTGAATCATGCCACTCTGTCCCTATACACCCCATTCCCTAGAATGTCTAAAGCTGATGGTGATGGCAAAGGTGGCTTCAGTTTTCCCCAGCTCCATGAAGGCCCTCTGGGGAAGCTACTGGCTACTCTTGGAACAAGGAGCAAGGTCACATCCCCTTTAGAGTTACACATACCTGAGAAAAGGCGGCTTTGCGGTCCCATTTGCATCATTCTGGGGAAGACAGGAAGATTATGGAAGGCTTGTGAAATTTGGACACTTTAAATAAGATCCATAAGGCATGCAAAGTTAAGCTGTTTAAAGCCACTCGGGCTGGAGAGATGGCTCAGTGGTTAAATGCCTTTGCTGCTCTTGTAGAGGACTCTAGTTTGGATCCCAGCAACCACATCAAGTAACGCCAGCTCCAAAGGACCTGACACCCTCTTCTAGCTTTCTCATGCATACATGTGAGCAAACATACATGTACACATAAGTAAAAATAAATCTTTAAAGCTACTCCTATTTAAAAGCACCCTGAGACCTTACTTTGAGACTGCCTAGTGTCTAAATTCATTAGAAAGAATAGGTCAAGCTGGGCATGGTGGTGCATGCCTTTAATCCCAGCACTCAGGAGGCAGAGGCAGGCGGATCTCTGTGAGTTCAAAGCCAGCCTGGTCTACATAGTGAGTTCCAGGACAACTGGGACTACAGGGAGACCCTGTCTCAAAAAGATCAAAAAAAAAAAAAAAAAAAAAAAAAAAAAAAAGGTCAAGAGGAAATGTTGAAAACATGAAGTAAAGTGCCTCATTAAAATCATGGCAGTAGTGTCTACACAGATCAGTATGTGATATCCTGAGCAGTACTGTCTCCTAAACCAGAAACTCAGATCTTAGTGAATTAACTGAACAGCAGCCATAGTACAGACGGAAACACTTGCAGACACCTGCAGACCCAGGGGAAATATAGACTGGCTCCTGTAGAGTTGTGGTGACTTCCCTTTCTCAGAGTGGCATCCCCAATGATGACACACAAAAAAGTAAGTGAAAATAAAACCTCATTGGTTTTGGGGACTGATGCCAACTATTAGAGCCAGCCACCTGGAGACTGCGGGGTGGGAGTGGGAAGGTTTGGTAGAGCACAACCTAGCTTGCATGAGGCTCTGGGTTTTATCCCCACACTAAAAACTAAAAACTACAAAAGAACTAAGTTCAGCTTTGATCCTTACTTCAGGAATCCTCAAGAAGGCCTCTGCAGGTTACATAGGTACTGCCTCCCTCTGGCACATCTCCAGATAGTGCTGGCTGGGGACAGGTACACATCTGTCCTTTCTCACATTCTAAAAAACTTGTAGTTTCTCTGAGGAATCAAAGCATTTGGAGCTAGCCCAGCACCATCCAGCAGAGGGCAGAAGAATGTTATTTGATGCATAGGAGCCAGGCCAGGCTGTCCTCAAGTCTCCAGAAAGCTTCCCAGGCCTCCCAGAGGTCTTGGGCATAGGGAGGCTCTAAACTTACAGTGCCTCCTTCCCAGTGCCAGTTCTGAGGCCACAGGCCTTGGCTGTGACTTCTACAGCACAGCATCTGCAGAATACTAAATGGACAGGCTATCCCAGCGAGAGATAAACTGGAGGGATCTTGGTTATGACCTCAGACCTTGGCTCCCTGGGGTCAACACAGTCATCTGCTGCACAACTAGTGTCTACCTCTCATCACAAGCCTGAAGCTACTGCCTGGTTTGGCACATCCTAATCAGGTTTGAAGTGTCACAAGAGTGATTTCTTCCTGCAGGGCACTCAGCTTCCTCAGCAGGCCTCAGTCATTTCTGATGTAACTTTCATATGATGCGATGATTAAGAGCCAATTTATTTCTTTTTAAAGAAGTCAGAAGATCTGGCCTGTTGATTGTTCAAAGAGCTGGCTTGACTGGGCCGCCTGAAGCAGCCAGCCAGGCAACAGCCCGTCTGGAAGGAGCCTTCTGTGCCTAGAGGTTAGCAGGAAGAGCAGTCTTACAGCCCCAGGCCACCTCACCTACCCCAAGTAGCCTCTTCCCATCAGTATCCACTTCCTTCTGCTCTCCTCTGGACAAAACCTGTGTGGTTCTGTGGAGGACTGCTCTCTCCTAAATTGGAAACTGAAAGCCCTCTGCCTGGGAGCACCCTCTTAAAACAAGTTGTGACATTTTAAGGAGCTAGGATGCCTGGATGCTCAGCCCACCAAGTCTGAGAGAAACAATCACAGCAAATTCTTAAAAGTAAAGCAAAAGAAGCACCATCTCCATGAGGAAGGAGACAGACACTTGACTTCCATCCAGACAGGAGGGTTTGGTCCCTATGAGACCTCATGGCCCCGGAGAAGGGACATGCCTTGGGGTTCTGGGGAGCTGAGGATGTTGTTTCTTGATCTGCTGCTGATTCCATATAGTTACGTCAGGAAACTTTTCTATAAGGCCTGATGTGGTGTGGAACACCTGTAATCCCTGTACTTGGGAGGCTAAGGCAGAAGAATCTTGAGCTTCAGGCCAGCCTGGGCTACATAGTGAGACCCTGTCTCAACACCCCCCCCCCCAAAAAAAATAAAGAATCTGGAGATGTAGTTAGTTGGAAGAGTACTTATATAGCATGCATGAAAGCCTTGGGTTGCAGCCCCAGCACTGCATAAACTAGGCATGGTGGTGCCAGGCTGTATTCCCAGCACTGGGGAGGAGGAGGTAGAAGGATCAGAAGTTTAAAATTATTCTTGGCTACATAGTAAGGTTGAGGTCAGTCTTGGAAACATGAGATCCTGTCTCAGAAAAAGAAAACCAGAAAAATAACATGCACTTTTCTATGTGCTATTTTTGTGTGTATATGTGTTGCATGGGTATGTGTGCATCATTCTTTAGTCAAGTGTTTACTTGAAAATCAAGCATAGGAAGGTCCCTGACTTAAGGTGTTTGGCTTAATGATTTTTCAATGGTATGAAAGTGATACATATTCATTAGAAACTGTACTGTGAATTTTAGATGTAGGTCTTTTCTTGGGCTGGTAATATGTGATACAGTCCTCTTCCCTGGGATGCTGGTGGTAGCGCTGAGCCATAGCTCCTGGTCAGCCACACCATCTGTGAGAAACATCCTGTACTCCACAGTGTGCTGCCCTGATAAGCTAGGATGCACCACAGGTTAGGTGGATGAAGTTAGTTTTCAACTTCCAACTGGTTTATCAGGGCATAACCCCATAGCAAATCAGGAAACATCTGCACAGGAATCTCAGGTAGCTTTCTCCTTTGCTGTTTGGAGTTTTTTCAGTGGTCTGAAATTCTGCTTTCCTTTGGAGTACACTGTCAGCAGAACTCCCTGGTCTCACTTCTCCTGCAGCACTTGAATTTATAGACCAGATTTTGGTGTTGCTCATGAGGGTGACCTCAAAGTAGCTCATCATCCTTTGACCATCTCAGCATGCACACCTCCCATTTCCTGGTCAAGACTGACTGCTGCCTTCAAACATATCCTCCCTTCCCTTTCCCTACATGGTGGGGGCACCATGGCACGTAGGCAGGGTCTGCTACCCATCCTGTGACATCATCTGGCACACAGTAAGGTGCTGGTCCCTAAGCATATGGAACAAGATGGAATGATTCAGGTCAACCCAGGTGTCCATGGGGTCAAGCAGGCCATTATGAGTGCAGAGTGGCTGTCTGTATTCATGCTGTAACAGCAGAGTAGGGCACATCTTGTGATGCCCCTTACCCCAAGAATACAGAAACTCCAACTGCCCTGTGTAGATGTTTGCTGACACACTGGTCACTTACTCTCTGGTCACTGTCATCTTTCCCACCTACAGGGCCTTTGTGAGGGGTGTCCATCACGGGGCCAAGAGCCTCAAGGGGGGACCACTTGACCCACTTACAGGGTGGTCCTACCAGTTCAACCACCCAGCACAGTTTATTCCTTAGGACCCTAGAAGACAGTGTCATAGAAGCAAAGGCCTCACCCAGGAAGGGCAAGTCAGGTCCCTCTGAGAAAGCCAAGTGGGCCTGGAGGGCCTGTTAAAGATGGTCATTTTAGCACTGTGCTGAATCCTAATACTCAAGGAGATGAAAGCCACAGAGTGAGACACCTACTTAAAAGAACAGTCATTACAGCTGGGTATGGAGGAGCATGCCTGTAATAACCTTTACACTTAAGAGACAGATTCTGAATTTATGGCCAGCCTGGTCTACATATCTAGAACTTTTCTCAAAAAACAAAAAACCAAAGCACAAAACCAAAAATGGTTTTGCACTTGCCATCTTTGGAGCAGCACTAATTCTGTTGCTGATGGCAGGTGGCCCCTTTGCCTCCCCTAGCTGTGCTCCTAGGACTCCTGATTTGAATCCGTAGCAATGAAATGTGGTGGCCTAATGGGAAGGATCAGTGTCAGGGAGGAAGCATATACACACAGAGTGGCAGTTTTCCTCCCATTCTGTAGTGTGCATAGGAGCTTGAGATACTACATCAGGAGCTTTCTGTGAGTGGTAGAAATGGACTACAAGTCCATCATTTCCCCTCTCTGTAGCAGTGAAGCCTCTTGCTCTCATGTAGAAAAGTCAGTGCCCGCTTCCTTGTCTGTTTTAAGGCAAAATGATTGTCCTCAGTGTGGGATTATGGCTGGGAGTCCCCAAGCCTACGCAAGAAACTCTCAAGTCTTTTTTTTGTTGTCTTTTTGAGACAGTAGTCCCAGCTGGCCTGGAACTCGATATGTAGACCAGGTTGGCCCTGAACCCAGAAATCCGCCTGCCTCTGCCTCCCGAGTGCTGGGACTAAAGGTGTACCACCCCTGGCTGAAAGAGCTAAACTTGCTATGTATGTATGTATGTATGTATGTATGTATGTATGTATGTATGTATGTATGTATGTCTTTTTGAGACAGGGTCTTCCTGAAGCCCCAGCTGGCCTGGAACCACTATGTATGTAGATCAGGCTGGCCTTGAACTCACAGAGCTCCACCTGCCCTGCCTTTGCCTCCTGAGTGGTGGGATTAAAAGCCTGTACCACCATGCCTAGCTAAATTAAGCTTAAGCTTAAGACTCTTAAGTCTTGCTCTTCAGCCTTTTTTTTTCTTTTTTTTCTTGTAGTCCTGACTGACTCTGAACTCACAGTATAGTTGAGGATGACTGAACTCCTGATCCTCCTGAGTGCTGAGCACATGTGGGAATGGAACCCAGGGCGTGGAGCATTCTACCAACTGAGCTACAAACCATTATTTGAGTGACTTT